ATCAGATTAAAAATATTAATCATTTGACAGCCCTTGCACTGTTATTTGTTTTAACACACACACACACACACACACACACACACACACACACACACACACAGATATTGCAATTTCCACATAACTACCAAGCATGCAATCAATCTGTGTAGCTCCTTAAATGAAGGGGATAGCAATTTGATTTTAACCAGTGCAGGAGGCCTGACAGAAAGAAAAAAAACTGAACTAAACTAAAAAGGCTACTTTTATCCTAAGCATTTCTAATTTTGACAAATCGAGGCTCTTTTTTTTTCTTTCCCACTGTGGTAACTGGAAAAAATGATCCCAGTTCAACTTAAGTCACAAATTAATCCAAAAGAAGMGTCTTAAGTTACAAATTAGTTGCTGTCAAGAAGCAGGAATTTATCCTCTGCTGCAGGGTTCACTATCTCATCTCTAAAAATAACTCCATCTGCATTTCATCAGGAGTCAACCTCAGTCTACTGTTTAATGGGGAAAGTAAATTTAGGCCATTGCTGCAGAGTCTAAATCACAGAMCTTCTCCCCGTGAATGACACAAAGAATACATAACTTTCACAAACTTTTACAGCTGTTGGACATACGGAGAGGATATTCACCTTGCTGAATGTCCTTCATTTCCAGATGCAGGCTTGATATGAGGATGCCGACCGCCTGTGAACGCTTCCCGTCCAGCAGCTTAATAATCTGGAAAAAAAAATAGAACATAATTCACGTGGTTGTGGTCTGATGATTCAGAGTAGAACCTGAGAAAAAAAAGCCTCACAAGTCGATGCCGGTAAATTGCTTCGAGACAGCAGTGTAACTTGTTATGAAGAGGCAACAGTTTTTAATTAATGAAACCAAGAAACAGACAGTTTGAGTAAAATAAGGATAAWGCTGTGCCTGAAATCCACATTTTCTGGGTTTACCCCGTTGACCAAAGTGACCAACATTCATCATCAGAACCCACTGCAACGATGCAAATAACTGAGAAACTGTGTAGCAACTTTGCCAATAAGGGTACAGAGTTCACCAAAAAACATTCACCCCTCAAGTTCACCCGGGACCACGTGTCTAGAATATCCCACAAATATCAAGTCGCAGTGAAAGTACAAAGGGAAAAGTGGCACATAAAAGGACAGTGTAGAAGAGCAAAGCAGAGAGAAGCAAGGCTTTTATAACAAACTATAAATTCACAGGATTTTTATTTGTGCTTACACATGGTCACAATTACTTATGACTGAATTAGCCGTAAAGCCAGAGAAAGTTTTGGCAAGGTAAAGCCCTGCTCTAAAAGTTAATGTGTCAGGCTTCTTCATTAGCTATTATGGTGTTGTTGGCTACCGGGGCTGTCCTGTGGGAGCTGGAGAGCAGAAGCCTTAGAAGTAGGTATTGCATTACAGGGCGTTAGTGGGTGCCGTGCTGCTTCCAGCTCTATGACCTGGATCACTAGGGATCTCCCACACTCGGGACCTGAGAGACGGCTCAGCACCAGGCTTTCCCAACACCTCTAATTAAGCACTTAGGGCGGCCTCACATATGCACAAAAAAAAGCCTAGAAACTGCCCCCACTTGCTAAGGCTGCAGAACCTAACAATTAGCTGAAACAGTTAAGCTAATAAGCTAGGACAAGTGATGCTGGATGTTTTCCTACATGTAAACAGCTTGGGCGATGCTGATGCTGAGACCTGCAGACATCAAGAGCTAATGGCGCCCTCCTGTGGACAAAAACAGACGTTTTCTAAGCTGGAAATTTTACTAAAATAAATTCAAGGTCTGGAATCGTTCGAAGGAATACATTTAACCTTCCACCTTTCATGCCAGAGTTTGATACAAAGATCATTTTTTATTGACAAATAATGGATTTSTAGCTGYTTTGGTCAAACCTTGAAATCAACATTTTGCTCAGTCTCATGAAATACTGTCAGACTTGACAGCTTGTGGTATGTGTTTGTGAATGAATCTCAGTTACTACGACACAAAATTTTAGTTTAAAGGGGACACATGCGTTTAAATCCTTCCTTTTCACATTTAAATCACTTAGTTGGGGTCTTTATAAAGTGGAACTGCAATGCTTTGGTCTGAAATCCTCCTTACTGTTCCTCCACCAGCCCCTCCTTCACCCCTGTTTAGAGGTGTGTCTCAGAGCAACTCATTTTGGTGCGGTGTCTTTAAACGCAAATGAGACGCTTCACACCCCGCCCATTGTCTACTCCACCTCATTTGGCCATTTTTGTTGTTTGATAGCAGAGCTAGGATTATATTTACAAATTGATAAAAAGCAGAGGAGTACAAAGTACTTGAAAAAAAAATCACTAATAAAATAAAATACCTTAAAACTGCTCACAATAATTGGGAAAGTACTTTTACACACACTAAAAACGAAGTGTGGAATTTATTTAACCAAGTTATGTTAACTGGTTCCACTAAACTAAGTTGAGTAAATTGCTCAATTGGCTCAACTTGGCTTGGTGGAAGCAGTTAACATAACTTGGTTAAGTAAGTTGCACACTTCCTTTTTTAGAACTCCTTCCAGGATGAGTTCTGGTCATATTTAGATTTGTAGAGTGTAACGAGGTGTTACATTTTCAAGTAAGGCAGTAAAAGTATCATTTTTATGTTTTGAATGTAATGAAATAAAGTAAAAGTTATGATTAAAATGAATACTTTGTAAAATTAAAGATCCTCATAAAAACTACTAAAGTACTGTAAGGAAGTAAAAGTATATTACTATTATACAACTCTGATTTAAAGATGTCAACAGTAGAAGACTTGTCCATCCAGCCAGCCTTAAATGTTGGTTAACCACAAGTCCATGAACCTTTTTCAGCAGTTCCACAGATAATACTGTGACGTAATAGTTCAGAAAACATAATAGGGAACAGTGAAAACTGAAGAATATGACCCAAACTGAATATAAAAATATCTACACAGCATCAGGAGAGACTAAACTCAACTTTTCTGCACTTCTATCAACCCCAAGTCTCCATCTCAATCAACTAAAAACTCATTTATTCACCCAAGCATTTAGCTGAAGGTATCCTGCCGTCCACAACATAATCCTGAACCTAAATTTCCATGACTGCAAAACACGTATTTTACTTCTGACTGGTATCCATTCATTTACATTTTATACGCCATGAACATCAACTCCAATTAGTTACAGGCAAGCCTATCTATTGTATATACCTTAATTACTTTTTTCTCCATCATTGTTATTCCATGCCYCTACTATTACAMAAAAATTGAGAATGTATTGACTGGAATTTCATCATTTGTAAYGTAATTGTCAAGTATTTCTGTTTTTCTATTTGTGTTTGATTGTTGTGTAGCACCTTCTGCCAATTAACTCTGTCTATATTAYTGATTATTGTACAGCACCTTGTGAATTCCATTTCTGTGAAAGGCGCGCTATAAATAAAATTTTACTTACTTACATCTCCATCTTCTACCGCTTATCCGTAGTAGGGTCGCGGAGGCAACAGGTCCAGGAGAGAAACCCAGACCTCCCTCTCCCTAGCGACACTTTCCAGCTCGTCCCGGGGGACCCCGAGGTGTTCCCAATCCCTCCAGCGAATCCTGGGTCTTCCTCGGGGCCTCCTACCAAAGGGACGTGCCCGAAACACCTCTAAAGGGAGGCGTCCAGGAGGCATCYTAATCAGATGCCCGAACCACCTCAGCTGACTCCTTTCGATGTGGAGGAGCAGCGGCTCTACTACAAGCTCCCCCCAGATGACGGAGCTCCTCACCCTAATCTCTAAGGCTGAGCCTGGCCACCCTACGAAGGAAGCTCCTTTCGGCCGCTTGTATCTGGGATCTCGTTCTTTCGGTCGTGATCCTCGCCTCATGACACTAGGTGAGGGTTGGAATGAAGGCAGACCAGTAAATCGAAAGCTTTGCCTGTCGACTCAGCTCGTTCTTCACCACGCCTGACCGAAGCAACGGCCTCGTTACTGAGGACGAGGCCCCAATCTGTCGATCCATCTCCCGCTCCATCCTAYCATCACTCGTGAACAAGACACCCAGATACTTAAACTCCTCCACTTGAGGCTCCAAGCACACAACAAAATGTATTTACCWGCTAAAAMGTGGACTTTGCATGATATGTCCCCTTTAAATGTGTTAAACTGACCACTGAAAAAATAAATCACYCTTGCTTTGTTTTTGGTGGGTGATAAAGAGTGAAAAGTGAGTGGGCTAAGAAATACAGTAAATAATAGAAGACCGTGTCAGAGCTTCTGAGCTGAAGCAGGTGGCTGATATCAGGATTCAGAAGAATGCAGATAGTTTACACTCGTACTATTTGTCTGGATCCACACAAACATACGTCACAATAATACCGAACCAAGACTGCCCATCAATAGCTCACTCTCACCCGGCGGTGATAGCTGGACACCCACTCTCCTACGTCAGATCCCGGACTTCAAATATGCCTTCAATAAACGCACAATGATTGCTTATAAATGATAGCCTGGATAAAGGAAGTGTTTGTTTAAGGAGCTCAGCAACATATCAACTTGATAAAGCTTGTGTGTAGGAACACGGCCTTACTGACGCACATGTTTGCACCCAGAACAACTAAAAAGCGAAGAAGTTCTTGATTCTTATCGGACTCTTTTTCATCCTCATCCCTCAGGAATGCACCTTCATGCCAATTCCTGCCCCCTTCCTCTTCTATAGGTACCCCCCCTTTTTTTCTTCGCTTCTTACACCAGTGAAGCCACATGAAGGCAATTATTATACCCTTGGTCCAGTCCAGTCCAGTTAGGTGCGGTGCGGTCCGCTCTGGTGGGAGAACTCTCTTCCATGTCATCTCCTTAGCTTTGATATGCTAATCAGCAGAGAGCAAAGGGCTCCAGGAAAAGAAGAGCTTTGATTTTCTTTCTTTTATGGCACACATGATAAAGATTAACTCACACACGTAGGCATCAGCCGCATCGCCTGAGTTAGAAATTTTTTGGCAAGTGTAGCTGGTGGGAATCAGGAAAGTGGCTCATATGCATTATGCACACACGCATTCCAATCCCACTCCCTCGTCTCCACCCCCTCGCCATTCAGAGCCCTCGGGCGTTAGCGTTAGCATGATCTGGCAACACTTTCTGATCAAGTGCATAACGACTTGTCATCACACACATGGACGGAAGGCGTGCCCCCCCCCCCCCCCCAACTAACAAGGATAAAAGGGGTTTCTGAAGCTCCTGATGCATCCAAACAGAAATCCACTGGCAACATTAAACTGAGTGTGTGCTGACAGAGACAAGAGGCAGGTAGTCTGTGYGGGAGTCGACCGGTATTGGGAATCACACCAAGGGGCACAGACAGTCTGAGCTGTCAGTGTAAAACATAAAGTCTCCAAGTTGGGCAAAAATTGATAAATGCAAAAAGAGCAGGTTAAAAAAAACCCATAAAAATGCAGATAACTGAACAATGAGAAATATAAAACAACCTCCTGCAACTTGCAGAGAAACGAAATGCTCAGAAAATAAGAAAAGGTAGAATAAGATAAAGTGGAGCCTCAGTATATTCTGTAACACGTTAGGCAAGTATAAAGTTTTCTTATTTCTAAAAACAACAAATACTTGATTTAACCAAAGTTCACACTACTGACTAATCAGATTAGTATATAATCAACTACTTTTAAGAGAAAAAAAATAACAATAAAAATACATGTTAGAATTTAAAGATTATTAGGGACTGAATAAGCCACTTTCATATTTTTACAGCAACAGTTTGCTGTTGGAACAGGTGATTATCATGCCTGATTTCTCATGAATTAAAATATAAAGTGTTTAAATATATAAGGATTATCCCTTTATCTTTTCATGAACTTTTTATAACCATATTATTCATTTGAAAATAACTATTTTATTGATGTTGCTTCAAATTTTGCTTTAACTGTTTATGTTTTCCACAGAATCCTAACTTCTTGCAGTGGTGTCAAACTTATTTTTACCGAGGGCCACGTGAACGTTACGCTGGCCCTCAAAGGACCAGTTGTAATTAATGTTGACGTTTTGTGTTTAACTTGGACAAAACATGAAACATCTCATTCCTCGTCTCATCGCTACAGCAGATGGGGTCTCATTGGAAGACCGGACAGAAGCCAGTTTGGCCCGCGGGCCTTGAGTTTGACACATGTATCAGTGCAAAACAATGACGCTTGTTTTAGCAGCATTAAAAAATCCCCATTAACCTTTTTTTAAACATTTCATTCTATAATACAGAAACACCCTCCTTTTGTCTCTTTTCCTTGAAAAAGCCTGCCTCAGAGATGGAGTCATCTTCAACTCAGTAACACCTTCATTTCAGTCTCATCCTTCACCACATCCTCACTACTCTTACTCTTCTTCCCCCTTATTTTCTTTGCTTGCTCAAGCTGAACTTCTTGGAAATTATCCTCAGCTTGTGATTCAGATGATTTCTCCCTCAAATGATTTCTCCCTCTTTCACCCAGAATATAAACTTTCAGGGATTTAAAAAAAAAAAACGATCAAGTAAACAAGTCTCTGTAACTTTGACGAGCTTTACCAGGAATTTGAACCTCTGAGCTGGCTGAGAACAACTTCAGATTCTTTCTTTTTTCCTTTAATCAAGTCCAAAAAGCTAAAATACTGCAAGTTTATGGGACAAATTAAGCAAACAAAGATAACCATTTTATCCTGTGTACTAGACAACAAATACTACCTGGACACTTAGTTTGTTCCTGATTGATATAAGTTGGGATCAACAGAGTTTCCAAGTGGTCAAGTCTCCCCCAAAAGCTGATGTAAGCCAAGAAAGGAGACAGTTGTCTGAGCTGGATCAAATGTTGGACAGTTCGAGTGACCAGACTGCATGGAGGGATGGAGACCGAGGACAGAAACACACACACAAACGCAAAGACACACACAAACGCAAAGACACAGAGTGGCCCTCTGGAGCAGAGTGGAGCCTTAACAAATTGATCAGAATAAGGGATGCGTATGGATTTGGCAGGGCCAGTCTGGGGCAGCGGCTGAGTTTTAACTGCTCGGACGCCACAGAGAGGACCGAGAGGCAGAAAAGGATGCTGACACAGAGCTGGCTCCAAGAGGAGTGCAGAGTTGCCGGATTGGACGGGACACCAACAAGACAGGGGGGGTTAGAGGGAATTTATCCAACTTACCTCCTTTTTCTTGACTTTTACAAAATAAGATTTGCACAAATGTCTAAGTAACCGCAACGGGAGATAAAACACACACAAAGAAGTGAACTCGATTGCCTGTGTTGGCCCAGTGCAAAACTCTGGTGACTGCAGGCAGAAAGATGTAAAAAAGTGTGTGTGTGTGTGTGTGTGTGTGGGGGGGGGGGGTGCAAAATTTATCTTTTTGAGCTTTATATCATATTATAATGTCATTCCCTCATCAGAAACATACCCAGAGTATGAGTAGTCAAGTCTTGCGACCCCTTTATGTATCCCGGGCAGCTCAGAACACTGAGTGTTTCTTAACTTGTGTCTTTCATCTGACGGACGCGAAGCTTTGAATAAAGACCAGTGCTTTTTTGGGGAAAGCAATGGGCCCACTTATGAGGTCCCCACTCATATACGTTTATACCATGTTAGAATGTTATCCCCTCATCAAACACATATCCAGAGTGTTGCTTTGACTTAGGGCTGCGCGGTATATGCAGTAGACGGTAGAAACGGTATGAAGTTGGCCTACAGTAGAAATTTTTACTCTACCATCCTGTCGTCATCACGTCATCGCAACTGTGTCAACAGGGTTGCGAGTGCAGAGACAACTGAGCAGGAGTTTGAAATATAATGAAGACATTCGAGCATTTTAAAACACGTATAGAGAGAATCAATCCTCAAAATTTCCTCTTCCCACTGTAGAAAAGTTACGTCGTGTCGCAAGATCATTCCCTCCCTCCTGCGCATGTCGCACAGAGCGAAGCTTTAGTTTTTACACTCAATTGTCGGAGAAAAAAAAAGTTTTTTATGTATTGTTACCCACAGAGATTATTTTAAATAAATGACATGGACGTTCATTCCGTCGTAAATCCATCTTGCTAATGTAAAGTCGGCTTCTGCTCTGATGATGAAGATGAGTGCGCAGTAGAGCAGCAGCTGATAAGTTCAGCAGGCAGAAGCTCATTGTTTGGCAGGCAGATATTAAAGCAAAAATGTTGGGTTTAATTAAGATTACAGTTTTCTGCAAAAAAAAGCTCTAATACGAGATAAACCGTTACCGTGAAGGGGTTCATTTTATACCATGATATGAATTTGAGGTCATACCGCCCAGCCCTACTTTGACTCATTCATGCATGTTTGAGAAATCCTTGAATCTCCTATTGGTAGATGTAGAAAAGCTTGATCATACAAAGCACCGCCTATTTACCCAAAGCCCCTCCCTGGAGCTCAGTTCACAGGCGAGCTCCCGCCCCACACAGCACCCCTCCCCCGTGCCTCTCCTACACAGCTGCACCAGACTAGCGGCAGCAACAATTAGCAAACTCCTGGTGGAACTGCACATCTGTTGAGCTTGTAACATGAACTACTTCATAGTTCATGAGTTCATAGCAGAACGTAGCTTCATAATGATCTACATTTATAGCTTCTTTGCAAAATGTAGCTAAACATTGATGTATTTGTATGAGAGAATGACTGTAAGATATATTACCACACTGAAACATCTTATAAGAGCCTCTGTACTCGCTCCGATTCTTAAAAAACCTACTTTCCGGGTCCGACGTGGGATCATTCGGGTAAAGTTCAACAGTATTCTGAGTTTCCATTTTTCAAAACTGATATTATATAATGTTAAGAAAATGCAACACTCCTATGAAAGGTTACATTCTCTTGAAGATGTGCCGAAGTGGAAGTGTCAGAAACGGTAGGAGGTTCTTAAAGAGACAGAGGCCAATTTCAAGGTGTTTAGATCAACTATGATGCAAAGTTAAATTTGCTTTTGATATTTACAGAATTTTCACAACAACTGAAGGTAACATAGTTGCTTGATTGTGGTACAGAACTGAATTATGTGACTGGAAAAGACATACCCCACCCTTTAATAAAAAATAAACAAATGTACCTTCTTAGTTTTGGCTTTCTTTTCAAATGTGTCTGACAGGGGCTTCTTCTTCTGCTGCAGAGCGGCCTTGGAAAAAAGATCCTCAAACTCATTGGCGTTGACGATGTCTGGCTCCTTCAGAGAACCCCATAATGTGTTGTTGCTAGAAAAAAAAACAAAAAAACCAAACAAAACAAAGCAGATACATCAAAACTCAGGATACGAGGTGCAAAGCATTACATCACAATAGCTCAGACAGCAGGCATGCAACAAGGGGCTGCATGAGCATCATAAATCCAGTGTTCCTTTTGTGGAAGTTTATTTGATGTTTATTCAACCTGTTTTCCATTTTCCATTTCGCAGTCTGACAAAAACTTGGCAGGAGTTCTCCGTAATCTCGACTTTCAGAAAAAAAAGAGAGAGCCATGTTTACGAGCTAGGTGATAAAAATAACAAAAGTTACAGACAGTCGTTTTGTTTCTGTGTGATGGGATCATTTTCCATAAGGACTAAAATAAAAGGGAAGGGAAAGGCTGTGTTGCAGAAGTTGCTGAGTAACATGGGAGTAAAACAAACAGAGTTTGAAAGAAAAGGTGGATCAAGTCAAGAGGATGTTCGGTGCTTTGATGGTACAAACACATCTTCTTCCAGCTCTGCTTTGGCTTCCAAAAAAATCTGTTCATCAAACGAACATTAACAGACTAATCAAGAGCTTTAGAAATCTAATGAAACTATTCTAAACAAAGACTTTGGAATGATGAGACTCATCACTATCTTTTTTGTAACACGCCGCCGTTGTTCTCGCAGATCATTACAGCTCATCTGTTTAGGAGAGCAATCCAAAGCAGAACAGAAAACCCAGCAAGTCTGTGTTGGCTTTTTGTCTCAGTGGTGAGAGGACTTCTCCGGGGCAGCCAGAAGATAATCATACCGTTCGTATGAACTTCCCAAAAACAGCAGGAAGTTAAACTGGAAAAGAAAATTGCATCGAAGTCTCCCGCAACATTTCCAAGCAGGAGAGCTTTCAAAGTGACAAATTATGAAGAATTAAAGTCAAATCCGCTCTTAAAATCTAACATATGTAGCTCCCAAAGACGATTGGCTGCCAGCTACTCTGGTTCACCACAACTGCTCCCCCTCATGCCATTAACAGAGATCACACCTCGGCTACAGTTAAAACATCTGCCCCATTTAATGCCCCTGAACTCGGCTCTTTACAGTTGAATTTATGGCTGACATGAAGCTGCAGTCGAGCGGTCGGTCAGTCCTCCGGCGCTGGAGAGGACTTATGAAAGACCCACAGCTTAGTCTGCTCCACTAATTTAACCATGGAAACACAAGGCCATAAATCTGAACGGCTGGCACTGTGAGGCAACGGCCGCAGACTCTGTAAATGGTCTGGATAATCTAGTTACTGTTCCAGAGTGGCTCAACAGAAACATCAGCACCGGGAAAAATCTGACAGGACAAGAACATCAGGCACTCCAAGGATGACAGCAGCCAGGGATTAGGACAGATTATCGGAACTATTCAAATAGCGGCTTCAAGTCCAGCTTTCCTAATAATAGTATTTATTAAGAATACGTGTAATACTCATGATGTACGTACTTGTTGTCCTGTATCTGTATCCTGGTCCAGTACAGAGGCTTCATGGGACAGGCGGGCTCCACAACAGGTTTCCTTGGGCCCTTTTCCACTTTCAGGCCAAACCCACCCATAGGTGGAGGAGGTGGGGGGCCAAGGCCTGGAGGAGGCGGAGGCGGAGGTGGGCCGCCTCCAGGTAGGCCAGGAGGTGGGGGTGGAGGTGGCGGGCCACCTCCTGGCAGAGGAGGAGGAGGAG